ATTCGCTACTCTGAAGGAAATGTGTAAACCAACCGGCTGAATAAGTGGCCCCAAACTGCAAGGGAACTGCCATTTAATGCCCAGTCGGTTACCTTATAAATCCCTACATTGATTTCAAATTCAAGCATCAAGCACTCCTTCTTGGGAATAATAGCCAACTGATCAAATTAATGTTTTTATACTGCAGAACAACCTAGGAGATACTACTCGTCACGGCTTCACAGTAGAATCTGTGGCAGATCTGCTGTGGTGGCCCCGTGTGTCATAACATGTAGCGGAACAGTACTCGGCAAGCAGATTTGTTCGACTAGACCTGCAGCCTTCTAAAACTGGATTCTTCTGCCCAGATGCCCCGGAATGGTATCTTTCCCCCCACATCTCCCTATAAAAGATTCAACATAATAAAATGACAATTTAGCTTCAAATACTAAACACTTTTTACTTTAAGAAAATGGGATTACCCATCTTAATAGATGCTAAAAACTATTACTTAAATAATAGTTGAAATAATACTATTTTTTCCCCTTATTTTAACTAAAACTTTCCTCTCATAAGTGAAATAATTTAGTTAAAAGCAGTATCATCTTGTCACTGGCTTGACTAACCACACCCATTACTCTGTGGCTATTTGCTGGGAAACTCCATGTCCAGCATAATTTAGGATGATGGCCTTCAATGGCTACAGATATGCTTCTTCATCCTGTCACTACTGTGTTTCTCAAATTCTAATATGTGTCAGAACCACCTGGCTTTTCAGAAAAAGAGGTTGCTACCCACTCTTTTGAGTTCCTGATCCAGTAGGTCTGGGCTTGGTTGGTGAATCTGCATCCCTAGCAAGTTCTCAGGTAATCTGACGCTGATCGTTCATCCAGAGACACATTCTGGGAACCACTGCTGTACTGAAGTGTTTATGGATAAAGATGTTTGGAGGGAGAACAGTATAGTCTCATAATTAGTGTGGCAGAAACTTTCATATTTATTTACAACTCTTCTGCCAAAAAAGTCAAAACATTTGGGTAATGAAAGTAATTTTATGGCTGACAACTTAAAATGGTCCATTTGAACCTTCTCCTTTACTAATCTAACCATCTATCTAGCAATAGTTAGCCAATCAGGGTAACACCAAGTTATTTAACCAAACTTGAGTTATTAGCTATTAGAGAGGAAGAAAGGAGACTTTCATAAAGCAACCAAAGGAATGGTTTAGCTATAAACACTGCTTTTGTTTGCACAAACAAATATGGGACAGTTTGGTAAAAGCTTTTGGATAATTAGGGGAAACGGATTTCAGATTAAAGATGGCAAATTGACCCACACATATTTATCTTGATTCTTCCCTAAAAAGGACAGTGAAGGAACATAAAAGGACAAGTCCATAGGGACAAAGAGGATGGAGGAAGAGTCATCAGCGAAAGATATATTTCAACACATTTCTGAAAGATGGGGTGGAAGGAGAAATGAAAACTGGTTTGACAGCCACATTCTAATGTGGTCATAGAGGTCAGTACAGAAAGAACCCACTTGGCCCACAGAACCCCAAAGTGGCCTGGGCCTTGGAGATGCCAGAGATCACCAGAAAACAGTGCTGATGAGGGGCCCCAGGACCCCAGAATAAGAGAGAGGTGAACAGCTAAAAGCGGGGGCCAGGTCAATGTTGGCATTTGGAGTCATTGGATCCTCAGGTCCTCTGTTCCACTCCTTGCAGCCAGCAGGAGAAAGAGGAAAGAGGTTTGTGCTCCAGGCACACAGAAGGGCAGGAGCAAGGCATCTGCAGGAAAGAAAAGAGCGTGAAAGATTGCATACTAAGCAGTGACTCGCCCAGACCCCTTCCCCTGAACTGTTTCCAGAACATTGGCAGCCGGGTGAATGCCCCCTCAGGCAAAAGATTGTAGGATGTTTCTCATGAGAAACTGAAGAGCCCCAAAGAAAAGACATCTAGTTTCCGACATTTGGGATATCTTCCCATGAAAAAGATGAGCTTTCATCTGATCACTGTATAGCAAACTCACCAGTGAGTAAGCATGCTTTCTCCACCCCTATACAGAGTTTCTGGTGAGGTTTTTATGACCTCATTCTTACTTATGAAAGGAGAGTAAAAGGTTTGCAGACAGTTGATGAAAGCCTCTAACATGACAGGGCTAAAACAAACACACGGGGAGAAAGGACGCCAGAGGAAGCCAAGACAAGTCAGGAAGCCAAGAAAATCTCATAGCAAGTAAATACCCTAAAAAGATTGAAAAAATTACTGCAACTATGACATAATCACAGAATTCTATTTAAAAGATAACAGAAAACATGAAAAGAACTCTTAAAATAGATAACAACTTCAGTAAAAAGTAAAGTAAGGAAATATCCTCCAAAATAGAACAAAAGCTGAAGAGATGTCCAACAGTAAAGAATATTCTAAGATTAATCCAGGAATTTCAAAAAGAAACAAAAAGAATGAACAATGATTGAGGATTTCTTATGTGTCTGGCACTACTCTAAGTGTCTCAGGTATATTAGTGAGATAATTACCATTATTATCCCCATTTTATAGATGAGGAAACTGCAGCACAGTGAGATTAAGGGACTTGCCTGAGGTCATACAGAAGAACCAGGGTTTGAACTCGGGCAATCTGGCTCCAGAGCTTTTATGTTTTTAACTATTCTGCTAGGATGGCTCTCGCCCAAAGGGGAGGAAATTACTAAAGAAATATTTCAAGAAAATGTCCTCAGCTGGACATAAGCTCCCAGACTGAAAATGTCCATTGAGTGCCCAGTATAATGAATAAAAGAACACCTGAACTAAGGGATGTAATTATGATATTTCAGAATACTAGAGATAAAGAGATTATTTGACAAGTTTCCAGAAAGAAAAATTCTAGGTCACAAAGGAATGGAAATCAGGATGACATTTAAATTCTTAATAGCCATGCTGGAAGCCAGAAGATAAAAGAGCAATTTCTA